TTCAGCTGCTATCTCTACTGCACCTTTTGGTACAAAGTATTGTAAAAAGAGAGGGAAAAAAGGAAACTGTGAGAGTAAATATAATTAAAAAATAAAATATTCTGTTCTCTAAGTATAGTATCATAGGGGAAAAGGGAGCTCAGATAGAGAAGGGAGCACCAAATAAAGGGTGTTGGGAGGATCCTCCCAGGATGGGAGAAGCATGCTGAAAGTAGACTAAAGACCAAAAATGATTGCCACCCATTGCCTCTTTTGCAAACCACAGGACCCAAAAGGAGAGAGAGAACAAAAGGGAATGCCCTCCCACAGAGGCAGGGTGCGATGGGGGGTGGGAGGGATACTGGGATCCATGGTGGTGGGAAATGGGCACTGGTGGAGGGATGGGTATTTGATCATTGTATAATCGAAACCCAAGCACAAAAATTTGTAAGTCTACAACTGTACCTCATGGTGTCTCACTAATAAAAATTAAAAAAATAAAAAATAAAAAGAAATAATATTCTGTAATTTCAAAAGCAAAAAATTCTAAAAATTAGGCTTTTTAAAAACTTCCTCTGATTTCTTTAGAACCAGTAAAGTAAGGTATTTTGCTTTCAATGACTTTAATTGGTATTTTCACTCATTTAACAGCAGTTTATTGAGTTCCAACCCACTGTTCTATGTGCTGGAGATAATCAATGAGTAAATAAAGCCTACATCCTAGAAGACTTTGAATTTCAATGTGAAGACAGTAAAATAAAACAAGTATATGTTAAATATAATGAAGCAGTAACACATGCCACGGAGCAGAATAAAGCACAATGAGTGTGCAGACAGTTCAGTTTTCTCTTATTTTAATAAAACTGGAATGTGTTGTGAGATAACGGTTGAGCAGAAAAAAAAAACAAAATGAGGTGAAGGAATGAAAAATATGTTTAGATTTCTTAAACATTTCTACAATCCAATTCTAAAAAAGAAAAATTCCATGGTTGAAAATGATAGGAGAAAATTTTGGTCATCCCAATTAACTGAAGGGAGATCACTTCAGAGGCTTCAGGAGACATAGTGAGCAGAGGTTTCAACTCCAATGCTCATTGGATTTTCAGACCTGGCCTTGCAGGAACATACTGAACTCTCTAACTTATATATCAATGACTCTATGACTCAAGTGTGGTCATATGGCCTATGACCCTTTTATGCCATAGAATTCGTTTATCAATTCAAAAAACTTGAGCTGGGGCCTATAATGACCAGATTATTTGACTTGATTTGACCACTACAAATTTGTGAAAATCCTTTTCATCTGGCTTGAAATATTCTAAAATTGTTGAACCTCTACATGTTTAGTGAACTCTTTTTCCTCTTGCTGAAGACTGATACTGATTTGTGCTTTGCTTTGGAGTCACACCGGACTATTCTCAGGGGCTACCCCTGACTCTGTGCTCAGGGTTTCTTGTAGTGGTACTGTGAAAAGAGATGAAGCTTGGGGGTTAGGCCCAGGCTACTGTGTGCTTTGCATGGGCTCAGAGCACTCAGTATCTCTTAGGTGCCAGACTTCTGCATACAATAATGTCGAGAACATCATGCGACGACTGGAATGGGAAGGAATGGGAGTGAAGATAGATGGTTGGCAACTACACCACCTCCACTTTGCTGATAACATTGTTCTAATAACACCAAACATTTGCCAAGCGGCACAAATGCTGGCCAACTTCGACCATGAGTGTGGAAAGGTCAGACTACAGCTGAATCTTACAAAGACAAAGTTTATGAGAAATGGTCTCGTTCCTGACGCTCCATTCGCTCTCAATGGAACAGCAATCTCTGAATGCAACAGTTATGTGTACCTAGGTCAAGAAGTCAACATGACAAATGACCTGGCACCTGAGTTGTACAGAAGGAAGAGAGCAGCTTGGAACGCCTTCAAGAGCGTCGAAGAAATAGCTAAGAGGACAAAGAACCTCCAGCTCCGGGTACATCTCTTCAATTCCACTGTTCTTCCTGCATTAACATACGTCTCAGAGGCCTGGGCCCTATGCAAACAGGATGAGAACGCTATTCAGGTCTCCCAAAGAGGAATTGAAAGAGCTATGCTTGGAATATCACATTTCACTCAAATGAGAGAAAGAATCAAGAGTTCCGACCTCCATAGACGATCAAGAATTAGGGACGCTGTCTCGTTTGCCAAGGTGTCAAAAATCAGATGGGCTGGTCATGTAATGAGATTTAGAGACGACCGCTGGACTAGAGCTGTTATTGACTGGATTCCGCGGGATTTCAAAGACCATGTGGCCGCCCACCTACCAGATGGTCAGACTTCTTCGTCAAGATTATGAACGATCGGTTTGAGGCTCTTCATGTTCCCAGAGCGAACAGATGCCATTGGGCTACAAAAGCACGCGACAGGGACAAATGGAGACGTTACTGGCACCTGCTCGAGCAAATCGACGACTAACGGGAAGTCAAGTGATCAAGTGGTAGTTAAAAGAATCTTTTTACAATGATATAGACACTTTGTATAGACACAGTTACCTCACCTCAATACCACGAGACCACCCCAGATCCCTTACCATGCCTCTGAGTCACCTTCTGTCCATCTATTCCCCCCTATTAAAGTGTTCTCCATTTGTACTCAGCAACAACAGCTGCATATTTTTTTAAAATATTTCTTATATCCTAAAACCATCATGGCTCCCATCATTGTGAATGATACCTTAGCCTTCTATTTCTCACTCCTCTAACTATTTGGTTGACTCTATTGACTCAAAATATTTTTGGAAAAAAATAGTCTCAAGCTCATATTAGTATAATTTCAAAAAAATTTCAACTAACTCTTTAACTTTTACAAAGATCTCTCCTGGGATGCATTAACTCACAAAGGCAATAGGCAGTTTTCTGACCATGGCCTCCTTTCAAATTTGTTTCTTTCCTATATCCCTCTGTCCAACCAGTTGGTACCCAAGTCTCATACCATGGCCACCCATTCTCTCGATTTTTACCAGTGGTCCCCTTGGAATGTCCTAGAGATGTATAGGGTGCACTCTGTACACTGGCTGAGTAATGCTGTTCTAAGGATTATATCTAGACAGGATCAAGTTACATAGACAAACTCCCTGAAGTAAAGGGAATGAAATTTGAGTGAGAAAAATGGAATCTTTAAATTCTTTCAGATAAGAGTAAAAATAAACTTGTACTGCCCAATTAAGTTTTATTACAAACAAAACAGTACAGAAGAAGGGGGAAAGAATGATGTCAGTTAAATTTACTATCAGTGAAAATGTCTTACTTATAAGTAAAATATGAAGATCTCATTTAATGGATATTTTACCTTATTTTTCTAAAATCTTTGGAAAGCATTTCAATCAGTACCATATCTAACTTTAAAATAGACTTTCAACCTAACGGTAAACAGTATTGATTAGTTATTACTGTAGCTAAGATCTGATAATGCTGCATTGTTAAATCTTTCACATAAACTTAGAAATACATGATAATTCATTTTGTATAACAGGCAATGACATTGACTGCAAATACCTTAAGTGCATATATTTTCTATCAGAGAAGTACAAAATTTCATGAGCAGATTACATTCAAACATTCAGATAATTTCTTAAAAGAGGCTCTTCTACCTTTATTCACATTTACATTCCTATAACGTTTTACCCTGTCAAATTTTTAAATGCCTTAAGAATATACTTTTGTGAAGGATTAAAGTGACAGTAGAATGGGCAAGGTGTTTGTATTGCACACAGAAGACCAGGGTTTTATTCCCCAGCATCTCCTCTGGTGTCCTAAGCACCATCAGGAGTAATTCCTGAATGCAAAGTAAAGAGTAATCCCTGAGCACTGCTGATGTGACCCAAAAGTAAAAAACAAAACAAACAACACAACACAACACACACACATACACACACATATGCTACTGGCGCCCGCTCGAGTAATTCGATGATTAGTGAGATGAGAGTGATACAGTGATACAGATATATGTGTATATATATATATATATATATATATATATATATACACACACATTTAGGTATTGATATGTGTTTTGTTCTTCTGTGATAAGTGATAAGTGATAGTGTCCAAAATTATAAAAACAAAATTATCTTAAGGGCTACAGAAGTAACTTAGTGGTAGAGTTTAAGTCTCATATGTGTGGGTTCAATCCTGGCACAGAAATGAATAAGCCTTAATTATTCCATTGTATCATACAATGCAGCTTCATTCAAGCTGAAACTTTGTTTAATGTTAAAATAATATGCAAGGTCAGTATCATTCCTCTGCTATATTTAGTTATTTGTAATACTGTTTTAATTATTGACTGGCTCATCTGTGATATAATAATAACAACCAGACCAGTATTTCCAAGTTTGTCTGGTCATAAGAATCAGCAGACCACAGTCCAGACCTACTGATTCAGAATTTCCAGGAACAAGAATCAAGAAAACGAGAAACGGCTTCTTGTGTTTCAACATATTTGGGAAATGCTGAACGAAGTCGTTGAGATACTAATTGTAAATAGAGACAGAGAATCGTCATTTAACACATGTGCATAACATACCTGATAAGCCTTTCCTCTGACTCGGAGCCAGACTCAAGAGTAAAAGTAATTGTTAATAACTCTAATACAGTGGCAACAAAAATAAAACATTCTAGTGAATGATACAACTAGTTCCTGTAAATGTCATTTGTTTGGAACTGAACATACTTGGAGGATTTGCTCTGGTAAGATTGAGATTAGGAGAGTACTGACAAACCTAGAGAGAGTTCTTAACATAGAACCAGAGACCATCAAAATATGGTAAGAAGTAGAAATAATATTGTTTTTATTGATTACTTTGCTATTTTATTAATATTCTGTTAAAAGTGAATATGTAGGACCCAGCTAGTGTAATAGAATCTTTAGAACAATAAAAAAATATTATTCAGTAGGATAAAACATTTCTGAAATAGGATTACATATATTTGGACATATATATATGAAATATGTTTGAAGGCAAAAGGAAGCTAAGAATTGCTCACTTTAGCAGTACATACACTAAAATTGGAACCTTACATAGAAGATTAACTGGCCCTTGCGGAAGGATGGCATGCGAATTTGTGAAGTGCTCCATAATTTTTAGACACAGGTGAAGAGATTGGTGTTGGGACGATACATGCCTACAACTCAATCATAAATATCTTTGTAGCTTTGTAAACGAAAAAATGCAGAGCTGGAGCAATAGCACAGAGGATAGGGCATTTGCCTTGCATGCGGCCGACCCGAGTTCAATTCCCAGTATCCCATATGATCCCCTGAGCACCATCAGGAGCAATTCCTGAGTGCATGAGCCAGGAGTAACCCCTGTGCATCTCTGGGTGTGACCCAAAAAGCAAAAAAAAAAAAATTTAAAGAAGAAAAAATGCAATTGATTTTTGTGTATTGACCTTGTACCCAGCTCTACTTGTTTATTGTTTCTAGGAGGGTTTTTTTTTTTTTGTGGACTTTTTAGGGTCTTCTATGTATATTATCATGTTATTGGCAAATAGTGATAGTCTGAGTTCTTTTTCAATTTGGATCTCTCAAAGGAGCATTTAATGATCTTATACCACTGGCAAATGCAACAAAGTTAAAAAAAAAAAAAAAAGCAAATGGGACTACATAAAGTTAAAGAGCTTCTTTTTGGTAAAAAAAGAAAAACAGGTTAAAACCAAAAGACAGCTAACTGAATGGGAAAAAAAATATTTTCAACACATCAGATGAAGGTTTGATAGTCAGGATATTCAAAATATTCACAAAGATCAATAACAAGAAATTTAAAAACCCTATCAACAAATTGGAAACGGAAGTTAATAGACACTTCTCAGAGGAAGACAGGTGGATGGCCAGGAGGCACATGAAAATATGTTCAACATCACTTATCTTCAGAGAAATCCAAATCAAGAGAACAATGAGATACCATCTCATACCCATGATAATGGCACATATCAAAGACAGTAGGAATCATCTGTGTTGTCAGGGATGCAGTGAAAAGGGAACTCTTTTCCACTGCTGGTGGGAATGTTGTCTGGTACAATCCCTGTGGGAAACAGTATGGAGAGATCTCAGTAAACTTAGAACTGAACTGTCATATGACCAAGCAAATCCACTTTTGCTTATCTATCCCGAGGACATAAAACCACTCTCTCAAAAAAGACATATTCACACCATTATTCATTGCTGTACTCAGGTCAACAGCTGTAGCACCGTAGCACTGTGCTCCTATTGTTCATAGATTTGCTCGAGTGGGCACCAGTAACGTCTCCATTGTGAGACTTATTGTTACTGTTTTTGACATATCGAATATGTCATGGCTAGCTTGCAGGGCTTTGCTGGGTGGGCAGGATACTCTTGGTAGCTTGCCGGCCTCTCCAAGAGGGGCAGAAGAATCGAACCCAGGTCAGCTGAGTGCAAGGCAAAACCCGCTACCCACTGTGTTATCATTCCAGTTCAATAGCTAAGATATGAAATCAATCTAGGGTCCAACAACAGACGAATGGTTTATGAAGATGTGATATACACAATGAAACGAAGAGTTCATGCATTTGTTACAATATAGCTGGAACTGGAAGATATCATGTTGAGTGAAGTAAGCCAGAAGAAAGACAAATGCAAGGTGATCTCACTTAATCTGTGGAATACAGAATACTGGATGAGGTAAGGTAAAGGTAAAGGCCCTCCCGTTGATCGTCGATTTGCTTGAGCGGGCCCAGTAACATCTCCATTGGAGACTTTGTTGTTACTGTGTCTGGCATATCCAATACTCTCGGTAGCTTGCCGGGCTCTCCGAGAGGGGCGGAGGAATCGAACTCGGGTCAGCCATGTTGGCCGCTTGTAAGGCGAACACCCTACCCGCTGTGCTATCGCTCCAGCCCTACTGGATGAGGAAATGTAGTAAAAGGCAGACGCTTAGATCATTCTCAGCTCCAGTGTTTAGACAAGAGACAGACAGAGAAGGAAAGAAACCAAGAGGGGAAGAAGAGAACAAGAAGGAACGGACGAACAGGCATCAGGGCTTCTGTTATACCAGTGAAATAAGTGAGAGGTATCCCAATACACAGATTCAACAGAAATGAAAACATGAGATTTAAGCTGCAACCGTGAAACTCTGTAATGTGCCTGTCAAGTTGATGGGCAGAGGTGAAGTGGGGCCAGGGATGGGGAGGGAATCTGGGAATACGGGTGGAGTTGACATTGGTGTAGGGATTGGTGCTGAAGAGGTATGTCTAAAACTCAGCTATCAGCAACTTTGTAAATCATGGCTCTTAAGTTTTTTTTTAAAGAGTAGGAAAGAAAGAGAAGAAGAAAGCCAATAAGGTAGTGATAGCTTGACATCTCAGAGGGGAAGAAACATAGGAAGAAACATGAGTCTAATATGAAGCATCCAGTGGGAGATTTTCTCATTCTCAGTTAGAAATTGATAGTTGATAAACTGAACAAAATATCTTGTTGCCTATTTCTGAGAATAGTATAATTGGACTCCAGGGGAGGTCACCAATTTCAAAGACCATAGTTTTCAGTTGAACACTAAAAATATTATACATAAGGAATACAGGAAGACCAATCCTATTCCTCAACTTTAAACTATAGAATAAGGCTATAATATTAAAAACACTGTGATACTGGGATGAGAGCAAACACTTATTTAGATGAATGAAATAGAAATGAAAATATAAATAATCCTTCAGATACATGAACAATTAATGTATGTCAAAAAATCAAGAACACAAAATTCAGTCAGAAAATCTGTTCAATGAATAGTGCTGATGACATTAGACATTCACATGCAAAAGAATGAAATTGGACGACTCTCTTAAAACATGCACCAAAGTTCATTTAAAATAAATCAAAGACTGAGATGTTGACAATGACCTGAAGACATTGAAGAAAACATAAGCAATATACTTACTAGATTTAGAGGTGTTGTCAATGGTTGAACTGGATTGACAAGGAACACAAAAAGAAAAATTAACAATGGGACAAAGAGATTTGCACTATGAAAGATGTGTCATTAAAATAAACAAAAAGACATCCTATGAACCAGGAGAAAATATTCACAACCATACAATTCACAAATGTATCTGAAATATGTACATAAAGCACTTAGAAAATCAATTACAACAACAAAACCATTAGCCCTACCTAAGAAAACAGTAGGGAGAAAAGTTGAATGGAGACTTCTTCAAAGTTGACCAACCAATACATGAAAAAATGTTCACCATAGGGGACTGGAATGATAGTACAGTGGGTAGGTATTTGCCTTGCACACAGCTGACCTGGGTTTGCTTCCCAGCATCCCATATGGTCCCCCGAGCACCGCCAGGAATAATTTCTGAGTGCAGAGTCAGGAGTAACTTCTGAGCATCACTGGGTATGATCCACAAAGCCAAAAGAGAGAGAGAGAGAGAGAGAGAGAGAGAGAGAGAGAGAGAGAAATGTTCACCATAACTGATTATCAGGGAAAGGCAAATCAAACTTACAGTGTCATATTATCTGAAACCAGTGATAATAGATTATCAGAAAGTCCAGAAGCATCAAATGCTAGTGGGAAGGTGGAGGAAAACAACTTTCATTCATGACTGGTCATAGTGTAAAGCAATTAGTGATTTAGCCTCTATGGATTAAAGTATGACAACTTCTCAAAAACTTAGAACTACCAAGCATCAAATTAATATAAGGCGATTAATTTTAAAAGCTATGTGCACACCCATGTTCACTGCCATTCTCATTCCAATAGCCAACATCATTTAACCACCCAAGAGCCTAACAACAGACGAGTGCGTAAAGACGCTGAGGGGTATGGATGTGCTGGAAGTCTCAGCTATCAGAAAAGCTGAAATACTGCTCTTTATTTCTCTTCCAGTCACTTGACATCAATCTCCACATCAAAGTGGCCAATGTTACATACAGCTGGCATCATCCTGCATCTGCTCAAAGTGTTGGCCCAGGATGATGTCCAAGCAGCCTGTGGTGGTCACAAAAATATTGCCCTCCTTGCAGGCCTCATCCATGGTGGTTACCTCATAGCCTTCCTACAGGGCATTGAGGGGGTCAATCTTGGTGATGATGACTCAGGCGCTGAAACCCCACAGGGCCTGTGTGCAGCTCTTGCCCACGGATGGAAATGAAGGAGGATATCTTGCAAAGAAGAATAAATAAGGCCCTGCCCCGCGCCATTCGCCCTGTTCCTGTCCTTACTCCTAAGCCAGGCCTCCTTCACCTGCGTCCGCTGCTGCATGCGGAAGTTCTACCAGCATGCCGGAAAAAACTGCCCTACAAAGTTGCTGACATCAGCATGGCTTCCTGGGGATGCAAGGCCCTGGACATCGCGGAGAATGAGATGCCCAGCTTGATGCGCATGCGAGAGATATACTCTGCCTCCAAGCCGCAGAACGGAGCCCGCATCATTGGCTGCTTTCACGTGACAGTGGAGACTGCTATCCTCATGGAGACCCTCGTTGCCCTGGGCACCCAGGTACAATGGTCCAGATGCCACATCTTCTCCACCCAGGATCACGCAGCAGCTGCTATTGCCAAAGCTGGCATTCCTGTATACGCCTGGAAGGGGGAAATGGATGAGGAGTACCTGTGGTGCATCGAACAAACCCTGTAGTTCAAGGAGGGGCCGCTCAACATGATTCTGGACAATGGTGGCAACCTCACCAATCTCATCCACAACAAGTACCCTCAGCTCCTGTCTGGCATCCGGGACATCTCTGAGGAGACCACCATTGATGTCCACAACCTGTATAAGATGAATGTCAATGGCATCCTGAAGGTGCCCGCCATCAATGTCAATGACTGGGTCACCAAGAACAAATTTGACAACCTCTATAGCTGCCGGGAGCTGCTCATTGATGGCATCAAGCGGGCCATAGATGTGATGATTGCAGGCAAGGTGGCAGTGGTGTTAGGCTACAGGGACATGGGCAAGAGCTGCGCACAGGCCCTGTGGGGTTTCAGCGCCTGAGTCATCATCACCAAGATTGACCCCCTCAATGCCCTGTAGGAAGGCTATGAGGTAACCACCATGGATGAGGCCTGCAAGGAGGGCAATATTTTTGTGACCACCACAGGCTGCTTGGACATCATCCTGGGACA